TCCGAAGACGACATTCAGCACCCGCTATGGTCACTATGAGTTTGTTGTGATGACTTTTTGGTTGACCAACGCCCCAGTGGCATTTATGCATTTGATGAACGTGTATTCCAGAAATATGTTGATTCTTTTGTCATAGTATTCAGACAGGAGGATCATTAGCAGAATATGAGGATTGTACTCCAGACGTAGAGAGAGAAGAAGTGATATGCTAAATTCTCCAAGTGTGAGTTTTGGCTTGATTTTGTGGCATTCATGGGGCACGTGGTGTTCTGTGAGGGTATCAAGGTAGATCCGAAGATTGAGATAGTTTAGAGTTGTCCTAGACCGTCCTCAGCTACTGAGATTTGGAGTTTTCTTGGCTTGGCCGGATATTATCGCTGTTTTATGGAGGGATTATTGTCCACTGCTACACCTTTGACTAGATTGACTCATAAGGGTGCCCCATTCAGGTGGTCCGATGAGTATGAAAAGAGCTTTCAGAAGATCAAGACTGCCTTGACCACAGCTCAAATTCTTGTTTTGCCTTTAGCATCGGGTTCATATATGATTTATTATGATGCTTATTGGATTTGTATTGGGTGTTTCCTGATGTAGGAGTGTAGGGTAATTGCTTATGTTTCACGCCAGTTGAAGCCCCATGAGAAGAACTACCCCGTTCATATCTAGAGTTGGCAGCCATTGTTCACACATTGAAGATTTGGAGGAATTATCCCTACGACGTGTCTTCTGAGGTATTTACAGATTATCAAAGTCTACGACACTTGTTTCAACAAACAGATCTAAATTTGAGGTAGTGGAGATGGTTAGAGCTATTAAAAGACTATGATATCACCATTTTGTATCATCTCGGGAAGGGTAATATGGCGGACGATGCCTTGAGTAAAAAGGCTGTGAGTATGGATAGCCATGCACATTTTCCTATTGGTGAGAGATCTCTAGCATTAGATGTTCAGGCCTCGGCCGATGGATTTGTGAGGTTAGATGTTTTGGAGCCTAGTCGGGTTCTAGATTGCGTGGTTTCTCGGTCTTCTTTGTATGAGCGCATCAGAGAGCGTCAGTATGACGGCCCCCATTTACTTGTCCTTATGGACACGATGCGCGACGATGATTCTAATAAAGTTTCTGCTGGAGATGGGGGGCATTGCGGATGCATGGTCAGATTTGTGTGCCCAATGTAGATGGGTGCCGCGAAGATGTATCAAGATTTGAGGCAGTATTATTAGTGCAGGAGAATGAAGAAAGATATAGTGGAGTATGTGGCTCGGTGCTTGAACTGTCAGTAGGTGAAGTACGAACATCAGAGGCCGGGTGGTTTGCTTCAGAGACTTGAGATTTCCGAGTGGAAATGGGAGCGTGTTACTATAGACTTCATTGTTAGTCTCCCACGGACTATGAAGAAATTTGATGTAGTTTGGGTTGTGGACCGGTTGACTAAGTCCGCACATTTTATTCTGATTATGACTACCTATTCTTTTGATCGGCTGGCTGAGATCTATATCTTCAAGATTGTTCGTCTTCACGATGTGCTGATGTCTATTATTTTTTATCGAGGCACGTAGTTTATATCATAGCTTTGGAGAGCAATGCACCGAAAGTTTGGCACACGGGATGAGTTGAGTATTGAATTCCAGCGTCAGATAGACGGATAGTCTAAGCACACAATTCAGATCATGAAGGATATGCTACGCGCTCGTGTTATGGATTTGGGAGGAGGGGGGGTCTTGAGTTCAGTTTCTACTGCTTGCTGAGTATGCCTACAATAACAGCTACAAATCGAATATTCAGATAGCTCTATATGAGGCCTTATATGGGAGGCGGTGTCGTTCTCTAGTTGGTTGGTTTGAGCTGGGAGAGGCTAGGTTGTTGGGTACTGATTTGGTTCGAGATGCCTTGGAGAAAGTCAAGTTAATTCAGGATCGGCTTTGTACAACATAGTCTAGACAGAAGAGTTATGCTGATCAAAAGGTTCGTGATGCTGCCTGAATAATGGAAGAGAAGGTATTGCTTAGAGTTTCACCCATGAAGGGTGTGATGAGGTTCGGAAAGACGGGTAAGTTCAGCCCTCGGTATATTGGCTCTTTTGAGGTTCTTGGGAGGAATGGATAGGTGACCTACAAGCTTGTGTTGCCGCACAGTCTATCAAGTGTTCACCCAATGTTACATATCTTTATGTTGCAGAAGTATTATGGTGATCTGTCTCATGTTTTGGATTTCAACAAGGTTCAGTTAGATGGGGATTTGACTTATGATATGCAGCCGGTGGCTATTTTGGATCGACAAGTTGGAAAGTTGAAAATCAAAGAATATAACTTCAGTGAAAGTTCAGTGGAGAGGCCAGCCATATGAGGACTCTACTTGGGAGACCGAGCGGGAGATGCAGAGCAACTATCCACACCTATTTGAGGCTCCAGGTATGATTATAGACCCGTTCAAGGACGAACATTTGTTAAAGAGGGGGAGATTGCAACGACCTGGCCAGCCAATTTAAGGAATTGTAACCCTGTTCTCCCATTTATCGCTTCTTGCATGTTCATTTATGGTTATATGACTAGCCAGGGTGGTTGGCTTTGTTCCGAGGATGTTTTGCAGTGAATTGGAACACTTAGTCCTAAGGTTTCAAGCTTAAGTTGAATGAGTTGACCAGTATTTGACTTTTTATAGACGACTCCGACATACAGTTTTGATGGTTATGATATTTATTTGGAGTCCAGTAGATCGTTTTGGCCTAAATCAGCAAATGTTTTGAAAGTTTGGAAGGTTGAGAAGTTTGATCGAGAGTTGACTTTGTTGATATCGGATTCAAATTTTGGTTGCGAGAGTAGGTATAGGTCTGTTATCTCATTTATGACTTGTGTGAAAAATTTGAGGTCAATCGAAATTGGTTTGATATGTTTCGGCATTAGTTTTAAAAGTTGGAAGTTAATTCATTACGCTTGAATTGGGGTACGATTTGTGATTTCGATATTGTTTGATGTGATTTGAGGCTTCGACTAAGTTCGCATCGTATTTTAGGGCCTATTGGTATGTTTGGTTGGGCTCTTAGGGGCCTCGGGTGTGATTCGGATCAAGTTCGGCTTCATTTTAGACTTTGTGGGCTGATGATTTTTCTGTATCTCGTTCCTTATACGGGATTGTGAGGGACTTGTCGCGATCGAAATTGGTCTTTAATAACTGGGGGAAAGTTGTGCATCGTGTTCGCGAGGCAGAGGACATATTCGCGAAGGTTGAGGTAGGTGGAACAGCACAAACGCGTGAAGAGAGTCGCGTTCGGTTAAAAGGAAGGTTAGGCTCAGGAGTGGCAGACGTTTATTTTTCGCAGTCGTGAGGACTAGACCACGATCGCTAAGCTTTAAGGTGTTGATCATCGCATTTGCGATGAGGCGACCATATTCACGTAATAGGTTTCATCAACTGGTATCTTTTGTGTTTCGCGAACGCGAGTCATTTTCCACGTTTACAAAGAGGAACATCTGGGCAGAAAATTTTGTTTTTTTAACCAATGTCCATTAGGAGTTGTGCCTAGGGTTAATTTTTATATATATAAAGTAAAGTACAACAATGGAGGGGGACATAAATCTTACCTCCCAAAGGTTGGATGTGCACTTGATCATCCAATACTGATAACCAAATGGACCTAAAATTCTATATGAAGTTAGACCTATGGAGAAACACCAGTTTCCTATCCAACATTGAAAGACTACTGGGTATACAAAGGCATGGTGAAGGATACCTAGGTCAACTATACAAAAATGCACAAGTGATCCTAAATCCACTAAACAAATGAGTTGGAAGTTCCTCTTCCATATACAACAAGATCTACATCTTCTAAAGAGTAGAAACTTTCTATGGAGTATGACAAAAAACTAGGGATCATGCACCAAACATTCTTCAACTTTGCTTTGATAGTGAGACCAAATAATTCCTAGTTGAAGAAAGTTAACAAAAAGGACCCGAATAGGATGGCTTACATGCTGATTCTCCCTGGAATTTCTGACAGAAACAGTTGAGCAATTTCCTGCTGCCATCATCCGAAATTTCTTGTAAGTTGCAGTTTGTGTAGGTGGCTTATTGCTTCTTGAATTGTTGCTGGTGCCTGTGAACTTCTGCTGCTGGAAACTGGTGGCTTTATTTTGTAGAGTACATAGGTCTGGACCCCTATTATTGGCCTGTGGAAACTCTGCACAAATGGAAGCTGACTACATGTGAAGCTGCTATTGTTCAAGGTACAGAGGTGATGAGAACTTGGGTGTGTGCTTGCTTAGTTTCTGAGTTGTCAAAATATGGCCTTCGGATCTAGTTCCGTGGGTGTTGTTGTGTGTGACGGCTTGTGACCTCTGATGGAACCTGTGAGGCATGTATGACTATACTTGATCTAAGTTGATAATGTCCTTGGGATAGCTCCAGAAGAATTGGTGCACTTGCAACGGAATGAGCATCAATGATGCTAATACCACACCTTGTAACTGCAACAATACTCTGAACCCATCCATATACCTACAAAGATTAGCAAACATGTTAGAGGAAAAAAATCTACTCTCAGGTTCTTGTGTGTTATGAGAGTAGTAAAAAGGATTAGGCTCAAAATGGTGGAGGTGTGTTGATAGTTGGGATAGGGAAACTGTAGGTTGGATTTTGGGAGGTTCGTGATTTCTGGTAGCCTTTCATTGTTTTGTGGCACCGAACATATAGAAGGAGCTGCAGATCATGTTCATCGTTGCCTCCCCTGTTTGAGCTTGAAGAACAGTACTGCTCCCCAGGTTCTTGTGGGTTCTGGGGGAGTAGTTTTACTGGTTGTGAGAGGTAGGATGTGCCCTTTGCTGTTGATGAAGTGGTGGTAATATAGGCCATGATTGAATTGATGCTCCTGCTTCTACTGCTTTTGTTATTTAGCGGTTTCAAAATGATAAATTAACTGGGGCCATTAATACAACTCCAGTAGGATGAACACCATAAGTGTTAATACCACCCACTGAAGGTAGACCAATTGGTCTATCAAGTCATCACTGTAAGTACCTGCAAAAAGGAACCCAGAATTAGAGAAAAGCAGGTTTTCCTGCTTCTGTATTTGTGAGGATGCTTTGGATTAGTGGGAGGGTTGAATGGCTTTTTGTGAATGGAGGGTGGGATTGTTGATTATGGTTCATGTGGTGTGTGGTGTGAGGATAGAAAAAGTGAGTGTTATGTGTGGAGAAAGGAAGCTGGAAAATGTGATGGTGAGAAAGGTTGGACAGAAGGTGTTGGTATACTGAATGTGTGTCTGTAAAGGGCTGATGCTGGGTTGTGTGTTCAAGGGTGTGTGTGCATTAGAGTTGTGCTGAATTTTGTGGGTTCAGTAGAGGGTTTACTGCAAAAAGAAAGGGGTTATTGATGTAGACTGCTACTTCAAAATTTTCCTCCATTGTGGTAGTTTGGTTTTCTTTCTTTTTCAGAGTATTCTTAACTTGGATTGTTGGGAAGGCTATCAAGAACTTCTACTGTTTAGCCATATCCATTAGAGGAACTAGAAGTGGAGGAATCATGAGTGGACTTCTTGAAGTTGTTTGTTGTTTTGTGCCTAAATACAGGGGTGTCTAATTGATCAAGTCTGATCTGGCCCCTAATGTGTGGGGGAAGCTCTTGTACAGAGTTGAAGTGTGAAGTGTGGGCAAGATCATGGCTGAGTTTTGATAATGAATCTGCTGGGAAATTGGCTTCCCTATATACATGAGAGCACTTGAAATCCTCAAACTGTTGGGTGAGATCCTTCAGCTTTTTAATGTGCAATTGAAGAGACCATAGAGGTTCAGAGTTGTTGTTGATCCAATTAATCAACAAAGCAGAGTCATCTTCTAAGTGGATATTATTATAGCCATTTTCCAAGCACCACTGGACACCAATACTTGCAGCTTAAATTTCAGCTTGATTATTAGTTCCTTCACCAAGCGGAGTGGCCATTGCATGAATGAAATTACCCTGTTGGTCCCTTATTATGATTCCAGCTCCAATTTTTCCTAGGTTATTGAGAGCATTGCCATCACTATTGATTTTCACAAAGTTGTCCTGGGGTTTCCTCCACACTACCATGGTAGTAGATATGGTCTGGTGCAGATTCTAAGTCATTGAGTAGAGATCAATCCAATTAGATTGCCAACTGAAATGTGGATAGCAGGACCTTAGCAAGAGGTCGATGTCAGAGTCAATGGAGTACAGGACTCTAATCCTAGAGGAAGGTCAACAACCATATTTGGCATTACATCTGTTCTTCCATAGATTCCAGCATATGATGGTAGGGATAGTATCTAGTAGCAGTTGATGCACTACATTCTTGCCCTTATGGAGCCACCATTTCATTAGGACAAGCTTCAGGGGTAGGTCATGAATTTGCAGGCTTGTGATGCCAGCATATTTGTTCCAAATGGTTCTTGCAAAATGATCAGTGTTGACAATATGGTTGACTGATTATGCTTGGGAGTTGATGCAGCATACATACCTGGTGACTGTAGGGTTGCCAAAGGCAACAACCCTATCATTTGTTGGTAATTTATTTCTGATAGCTCTCCAAAGACAGAATGACCACTTGAAAGGAAGCTTTTTATGCCAGGTCTTCTTGTTAGATAATAGGTGCTGCTTCTTTCTTCTTATTGTTTCCCATGCTGAGGCACATGTGAATTTTCCTGAAACATTGGGGGTCCAAATGGCTTCATCAAGGATCTGTGGATTATGGTAAATAGGGACTTGCAGAATGCGGGCTAGCATGTGGGGTGCAGCTATTTCATTGAGTTTATGAACATCCCATTGCCTAGTGTTCCAAAATTGTGAGACTTTGATCTTGCCAGGCCTACCACCTTCATTTCTGTGAGCAGCTAAAGGTCCAGTACCTAGCCAGTTATCCATATGATTTGTTGTTCCACCTTATTTTTTTTTTCGTCATGAGACTTTTCCAAACCTGTGATTGGCTAGTATCCCACTTTTTAGAGATTGGGTGGGATCTTTGACAACACTTGTCCATAAGAAAGTTTCTCCATAATGAAGGTTTGCACCTAAAGTTCCACCATTATTTGTATTCCATGGACCTGCAGACATCTTGAATAGATCTTACCCCAATGCCAGCTTCATTAGTTGGATATGATAGCTTACCCAAGATGACAAATGATATTTGTGTTTGTCCTTCTCCATACCCCGGAAAAAATTAGCAGCCAACTTCTCAATCTGTTTCATTACTGTCTTAGGAGGGGAGACAATAGAAAGCAAGTGAACAGGCATTGATTATAGAACATACTTTACGAATGTGACTTCTCCACCATAGGATATGAGTCTTCCTTGCCAACCTCTGATTCTGCTGACCACTTTTGATATGAGACAATTGAATTGGATGATTCTTTTCCTACCTATGTAGAGAGGGCAGCCAAGATAGATAAGAGGGGAATCTTCTCTGGTGAATCCTATGATTTGTTGAATTCTGGTAACATTGTAGTGGAAGACACAAGAAGGAACCATGAAATGGCTTTTGCTGTTGTTAATCTTCTGGCCAGAGGTATTTTCACAGTCTCTAAGAATGGTCATTATTCTATTGAGGGAATTCTTTGTACCATATGTGAAATTGATCACATCATCAGCAAAGCCAAGATGGTTGATTTGAGGACCCCTTCTTTCCATGTAGAATGCATTGAAAAGTTCATCATGTGTTAAGTTATTCAGCATTCTGGATAACAATTCAGCACCAAGAATGAAGAGAGCAGGAGACATGGGATCACCTTGTTTAAGACCCCTTATGGAATTGAAAAAACCTTGTCTGGTACCAGGTACCATTCACAATCACATAGTACCAATTGTTGGACATAGTTCTCCAAATCATATCAATGATGACTTCACAAAATCTCATTCTTCTGAGCATAATACAGGTGTAGCTCCAAGAAACTCTGTCATATGTCTTTGCCATGTCATGTTTGATTACCAAGTTAGCCCCTTGATTAGGTTACTTGATGCCTTGAACAATTTCTTGGGATAGCATGATATTTTCAGTGATGATTCTTCCTTTAACAAATCCTGACTAGTTGAGGGAGATGATTTTAGGAAGAATAGGGGCTAATCTAGTGCAGATAACTTTGGAGATAATTGTGTTAATGAAATTACTCAAACTGATGGGTCTAAGTTCAGTTAGAGAGTTTGGGAATTGAACTTTTTGCAGCAGAACATGGCAGGAATTGGTCATATATCTGGGCATAACACTTCCTCCAAAGAAAGCCAACACAACTCTGAAAAGATCAGCTTTGATAATTTCCCAACATGATTGGTAGAACTCACCATTCATGCCATCAGGACCAGCAGCACTTGTGGGATTCATTGAAAAGACCACCTTCTTAATCTCCTGAATTGTAGGATCCTTGGTTAGTTCTGCATTTCTTCTTGATTAAGTATGGTTGGAATATTGTTAAGGAGGTCTTCTCTAATAGCACCATTTATTTCTGTGAACATGTTTTCAAAGTATTGGCAAGCAGCATTTCCATTTTGTTCATCACCTTGAATCCATTCACCTTCCTCATTTTTGATCTTGTGAACATAGAGTTTCCTTATCCTTCCTCTTATGAGACAATGAAAGCATCTTGTGTTTGCATCACCTTCCTTAAACCACTGCAATTGTGTTTTCTGCTTCAGGACTGCCTCTTCAACTTTCAAGTGCCTTACATATTGAGCCTGGATTTCATGCAAGGTTGCTCTATCTGCAGGATCATTGGAGGTCGATCATTTTACTTCTACTTCTTTCACTTTCTGTTCAAATTCTTTTGGCTTTTGAAAAATGTCACCATATTGTTCCATGGACCATTTCCTCAATGCCTTTGAAGTGGCTTTGAGCTTCTGATGAAAGATCCACATGGGGTACCCAGAAATTTCCATCTCCCAAGTCTTCTGGACTAAGGGTAGAGAGGTATCATTGTCTACCCAATAGTTGAGAAATTTGAAATATTTCTGGTTGGCTTCCTGTCTCACATGCATTTCCATTAACAGTGGTAAATAATTTGACCCTGCAGCAGCCAAGTGTATGATTGTGGTTGCAGGGAATGAAGCTAACCAATTATTATTAACAAATCCCCTGTCCAATCTTATCCAAACAATGGAGCATGGACCTCTTGCATTAGACTAAGTGTACCTTGGACCATGAAAACCAAGGTATACCAATCCACAGTACTCAACCATGCTCAAGAATTCAATAATCTTCTTCATTTCATCAGGAATGCCTCCAATCTTTTCTTCCACCAATGCAATCACATTAAAATCACCAATGACACACAAAGGCCATCGCAAGAGGATTTGTGCCTTAGGTTGCCCCATAAGGGTCTTCTCATGTTTTGTTTGCATTTTGCATAGATGACAGTCATATGATAAACCTGACCAGCTTCTACATGCCTTAATTCAATAGTTAGTTGTTGTTCATCTGTGTCTAGAATTGTACCATTGATGTCCTGGTTCCAGAATATCCAGATTTTATTATTGACATTGGAAGCTGCATGTTGCACGCCAAGTTGGATTTTATAGTAGTTGAGGTATTTGGTGTCAAGAAATGGTTCTAGTACAGAATGAAGGAATATTGTGAATTTGTTTCAGAATTCTGAGTCTCTCAAGGGCTCCAAAGGTTATGATACCTCTTGCATTCCAGATTATTGTACTAATCATTAAGGGATGATGGATGTTTGGACTGTTGGTTGTTACTGGAAGCTGCAGCTACTCTGCTTCTGGTTAATATTGGTGATGGTTGTGTAAACCTAGGTGAAATCCCTTAAGAAGCAATGATTTTGTCTTGATATTCTTCCCCATTGACTGCTTTGATGAGGAGATCACAGTCTGATCATCATCATTGTACTCATCATCCCCTTCACTTCCTTTTTCTAGTTTATCTTCTAAAAGAATAGGTCTATACTCATCATCCTGAGGTAGAGGAGCCAAATTGTCTTCAAACACATTCAATCTCTTCTCAGCAGTTGAAGTGTGATTGACACCCTCTCCTTTGTCAACTAGCAGAGGTTGCAATTCAGTGGAATGAGCTTCCAATTAATGATCATCAGTGGTAAGGTCTTCTTGCAAGGCCCTAGAATCCTGCCGAATTCCTAAAGCCATTTCCTTTTTCTTTAGATTCCTTATTTTATTTTGGCTGGGGTTACTCTACTTTTTGGTATTAACTGGTGCATTTTCCACAACATGTTGTTTACCCATTGCCTTCTTTTTGAGTTGTTCTATAGTTTTCTCCTCAGAAGAGATAGTAAGCAGTGGAACTTGACCAGCAGCATCATCAGTGGTAGCAGAGGTTAAGTCTAGCCTAGGTTCAACATATGTGCATTAGCACATTCATGCAAAGCATGAGGAAGCCC